TCCTTCTTCATAGCCACCAATAAATAGATAAATAATAAGAAAGGAAACCGGGCCAATCTTACTGTATGTTCATTTGAAAAATCCAATGGTAGATACCGAAGTAGGTGCATCTCTCTAGATCTTTGAATGATCCTATCTTGGGTGAAGCTAACAAAAATTACATCACAGGCTATATTAAAATTTTAGATCAGCTTCCCAGGCATTGCTCTTTTCTAGAGAGCTACCCTTCTCAGAAAACTGTTACTTAGGAACTTTAGTCACCAGAACTGAGGCCTCCACCACATACAAGGGCAGAAAGCTAGAGACATTAGGAAGATACGGTTCAAATTCTATGAGTCTATGAGTTGCCTGTGACCACAGGCTAGGATGAACACACATCCCAGAGTCTCTTCACATTTCAGGAACTGAAACCTGTATTTCAACCACTTTGTTCAGTTCTTTAAGGCCACTGCTATCCCCTTAAACAAGCAGGACTTTATTGTACATATAGACTAATTGATGATAAAATTTCTGTGGTAAGGCAAATGGACTAGAATAGCCAAATGATTCTGAAAGGCAACTTTGGAGTAACACTAACCTGAAATTTACTTTGCAGCTTCAACCAAAAGTTGTAAGCAACTGTGTCTATGAAGGGATGAATGGATATAGGAAACATGGTGAAACCAGTCAGAACGGCCACCATCAAAAAGTCTACAGACAACAAATGTTGGATAGGGTGTGGAGAAAGGGGAACCCTCTTACACAGTGGATGGGAATGCAAACTGGTATAGTCACTACAGAGAACAGTGTGGGATTCCTTTAAAAACTGGGAATAGACCTGCCATGTGACCCAGCTGGGCATACACCCCGGGGAAACCAGAAGCGAAACAGACACATGGACCCCAATGTTCACTGCAGCACTGTTTACAATAGCTGGGACCTGGAAGCAACCTAGATGCCCACTGGCAGACGAATGGATAAGGAAGTTGTGGTACATATACAATGGAATATTACTCAAGTATAAAAATGAACGCACTTGAGGCAGTTCTAATGAGGTGGATGAACCTGGAGCCTATGATACCGAGTGAAGTAAGTCAGAAAGAGAAAGAGAAATACTGTATATTAACGCTTATATATGGAATTTAGAAAGACGGTACCAATGACCCTACATGCAGGGCAGCAAAGGAGACACAGATGTAAAGAACAGACTCTGGGACTCAGTGGGAGGAGTGGGTGGGATGATTTGAGAGAATAGCATTGAAACATGTACATGACCATAGATGAAATAGACGAGCAGTGTTAAGCTCCATGCACGAAGCAGGGCACCCAAAGCCAGTACTCTGGGACAACCCAGAGGGATAATGTGGGGAGGGAGGTAGGAGGGGGGTTCAGGACGTGGGGGACACATGAATCCCTATGGCCAATTCATGTAGATGTATGACAAAAACATCACAATATCATAAAGTAATTACCCTCCAATTAAAATAAATTACTTTGAAAAGAGAAAATGTGGTGATATACACAATGGACTATTTATTCAGTCACAAAGAAGAAAATTCTGCCTTTTGAAACAACATGAATGGACTTCAAAGGCTTTATGCTAATTAAAAAAAGTGAAAGAGAGAAAGACATATATTGTATGTTCTCACTTATATGCAGAACCTAAAAAAGTCAAACTTTCAGAAATTGCTAAGAGTTTAGAATGGTGGTTTCCAGGGCCTGGGGAAAATGTTGAATACAGGGTACAAACTTCCAGGTATGAGATGAGTAAGTTGCGTGGATCCAACGCATAGCATGGTGAGTATAATTAACAAAACTGTATAATACAGTGAAAGCTACGAGGGTAGATCTGAGACGTTATTTCCTCAACAGTTTTTAAAAAGGATTATCTGAGGGGATAGAGTGCCAACCCTGCTGTGGTAATCATTTTGCCAAATATGTGTATATCAAATGATCACATTGGCATCTTAAACTTACAGGTTATATGTCAATAATACCTCAAACAAGGTGGAAAAAATAAGAGAGTCCTGAATGTGTCCGTGAGATCCCTCAAGCTATATTCTGTGTGCCTCTGACATCTCCATATCATTCTTGAACTTTCCCTTGTTACTGACATGACAAGGTGAACCAGGCTCATTTACCCTTTCCTTCCTCAGCCTGGGAACCCATCATTTAGTGGAGAAAGGGGTTCAGGAGCTAGGATCTGGGGACTGGTGTAATTATTGCCGTTGGAATGTTGCTGTTTCCAGTAACTTGGGAATATATGTGTGTGTGCACAATCACACACACAAACACATAGACACACATCTATAGTTACATATCAGTCTAGCCACATATGCACACCTATCAAATACAAGAAGTTTGCATGGAGACCTTTAATCCCAGTAGAATTCCTCAGATTTGTTCTAGTTTACTTCCTTTCCATACTGGAAATTCCCTTTTCCAAAAATGACAGACATGGCTCTCAGCATTCTTATGTATTTGCTGAGTTGATGAATCCCAGTACATATAAGTGATCCCTCCTCCACAAAAGGGTCCTCCTCACAATCTATGCAGAACCATCCCTTGCCCTTGACTTCCACACCTCACTCAAGCTTGAATCCATGAAGCAGTTAGCCTCCTTCCCACCCAAACCCCAGGGATATCCTTCTTTCCACCTTGGGCTCTGGCTCTCCAGGCAGGGATGCCCCACTACACATACACATGCCTTACCTGGCGACACCTAATGGTTTTAGGACTGACTTGCTCAGGCACAAAACAGAGAAGGGAAAGAAAGGGTAGGGACAGAAAAAGGTGAGTATGTCCTAATACACTCAGCCAGTCCCCGTGAACTGGGCCAAACCCAAGCAATATGATGAAGCCAGTCATTTTTTTTCCCCCCTCATTGTCCTCCAACTTCCCTTCCTGCCTCTGTCCTTTGCCCCAGTTCCTGTTTCCTTCTTAAGTCCTGCCCTCCATCAAGAGTACCAATGTTATGAGGCATGATTCCCACATTATAACTGATCTCTGCTGCTTGGCTGACATTCAGCATGACATCCCTGCAGCTGGGACACTCAAACTCTCTCTCTCTCTCTCTCATGATGGACCACAAGGTCTCACTCCTAATTTCAGGGATGAGTAGGAGATGGTGCAGGGCACACATTAGAGCCTTCAGTCCTTCATCTGTGAAATGCAGATGATCACAAATTGTGGGAGAAACAGAGACAGCAGCAACCAGACCCCTTTCGATGAGTGCTATGTGCCAAACCCAGCGCATCGCAGGTCTCCTTGACATTTAGAAGCACGCCAAGCAGATTTCCAGGCCAGGACAGCTGCATTTGTTGTTCCTTCTGCCTGCACTGCTCTTCCCGTAGGTAACCCCACGGCCTGCTCCCTCACTTCCTCCAGATCTCTGCTTACTGGCCATCTTTCAGGGAGACTTTCCCTCCTTACCTTGAATAAAACAATAACATCATACCTACATATACTCTTTCCCCTGATCTAACATTATCTTTCTTCATAGTGCCTGCCACCCTTGATTTATTTACTGACCACCAAGTCTATCAAAGGGGAGACTTGGTCAGTTCTGTCCTGTCACAAACTCCTCCAACACTGCTCAGGTCTATGGCAGGTGCTCAGAAAACATTTGCTGAAGGATAGTCTGGAGCCAGGCAACACACATCGCTAACATGCACAGGTACCCGGCAAGACGCGCACTGGCCCCATTGTAATAGTTATGAACAACCTGAGATTCCAGGAGACAACTGATACACTCAACAACACACAGTCAGCATGTCAGGTTCCAGGCCTCAGAATCATATCTGCCAGCTTCCAAATCCTCAGTTCCTGGACAGAGACCTCTCAGCCAAGAACTTAAGAAGTTTTATTTCTGACACAGAGACTCCAGATAGATACCCAGAGACACCAAAAAGAGCTCACTGAATCTCTGCACAGACAGCACACAACTCGTCTCAGACCCTCAAACACATCCGAGACGCTAACCATAAACGCTGTGACAAAGACCCTCCAAACAGACCAAAGTCTTCAAGACAGAAACAAAAAGAGAACTGCATAGATACTTCACATCATGGACACTGAGTCCCAAATCCTTCGGACACTTACCAACCTAATACAAAAAACCTAAACAGAAAGACAATTTTTAATAACTCATGAACATCATATAATCTTTACATAAAGTCCCCAGACAAATGGAAAACCTGCACCCTGTGCACAGATCCCCAAGCAGCTGAGAGTTTACATCTTTAGACAACCCATCCTTAAAGCAGCTCAGAGACATCACAACTTGGGACCCAGAATCAAAAACTCAGAGATCTCACAATCTCAGGTGCACACGCTTACAAAGAGATCTCACACCCAGGGACTGAAATGCCAGAAAGCTCCAAAAATGCACACCCCGGAATACAGGCACACACATACTAGAGGCTTTGTACTAGGTTCACAAAATCCACTCAGATCAAATATTCCATCACTCCCAATTCCGCCCAAAGGCTCAAGGAGATCCAATCTACCCAAACAGCGCCTGTGTGTCGCACGTAGCAATCACAAGCTGCCAGATACAGTTTACTCTCCAGGGAGAGACACCACACTCAGAAACCTCTGCTTGGACAAGAATTGCATGCGTTTGTGCAAAACACCGTGCGTTGCCACACGATCCAGACTGAGCGAGAGCTAAACAAGACTGAAACGCCGTCACCATGCTCCTCCAGCTACAGCGCCAAACCTCGCCACTAACCAGGGCAGCTATTCGACCCCTTCAGGAAAAGCAATACAACTCAGAGAAAAATTGTATGCTCTGAAAAGCCTAGCACGGCAACGCAGGCGCCCGCGTACACACACGCCCGTGGCCCTCAGGTCCAGCTCTGCAATCCCAGTGCCTGTAACAGCCAGCCAGCCAAATGGAACAGGGCAGGAGACCAAGCAGGGCGGGACTCGCGGGACTTCCGGCGCCTACTGGCGCCCCGGATGAGCTAATTCCGGCAAGCACGCGGTGACCAATCAATGCCCAGAACGCTTCCGGAAGCCGTACCCCCCAACTGGCAGCCTATCTCGCTCGGTAGCCGTCCCCCACTGGTTGCAACCATGTAGAAACGAAGGGGTGGAGTTGGGAAAGAGACGAAGAAAGTTGCAGCTTAATACCGGTGTCCACTCAGACTCGAATAACACGGGAAGACGGAATGGAGCGAATGGGGATGGACCCATTACGCCGCGAGTGCCTCTGCTGGTAAGTGTGGTCGATGCCCGACGCGGTGTAAAGGGTCTCTCTGTGTTGTCACACGCCCTCTCCCAATGGTACCTTCCAGAGCGGGTGGTCTTACCTCTACCCCTCAATGGTACATCCCAGGACAGAAGTGTTTCATCTCGCGCGCCCCTTGGTGGTGAGATTGAGAAACAGCCGATCTAGTTGCCAGTGGACCATTAGAGGATGATCCTCCAAGGGTGGAAAGGCAAAGTTAGGATGAAAACCCTAGCGATTGCTGCTATCTTGGACCCAGAAAAAAGTCTTCGTAAACTGAAGATTCCTTCTCTGTAGTGGCCACTATCGTAACAGGAAGCATTGAAAACATTTTCTCTTTGCTTGTTTGTGTTTTCCTGTTTAGTACAGAATCGGTTTCATCGGGAAAGCCAGCCACAGTGCCCCCAGGGGCAGGAGAGAGAAAGCTTCCGACTGGGATCTGAAGGCCTGGCATGGTGAAGGCCTCTGTCGTTGACTGCGAGTAATACTGAAAAGGACAACAGGACATTCCATTCTGTTAGGAAAGGGGTCATCTCCAAGGGGACCCAAGGATACCGTGTAGATGAGATAAGGACCACAGCTTTATCACCGTCTTGTCATCCCTGAATATGTTCCCTAGCAGAATCCTCAGCCTGTCTAGCTATGCCTCTCTCAACAAGTTCAAATTTGTTTATTCATTCCGTCATTCATTCTCTCCACAGTTTGTGTGAAGCACAACTATGTGTGTTAGGAAAGAGAAAATCAACTTTGGCTTCATGAAACTTACATTGTGTTGGGGTCATACAGCCCCAATAGATAAGTAATTTTCAGGTGTTCATAACTGCTGTGATTAACATTAAACCGGGATAGTGAAATAGAGAGAGGGGATGATATCTAGAAAGAGTGGTCAGGGAAGTTCTTTCTAAGATTGTGACATTTGAGTAACAGCATAGAGGATATGCCTATCTGGAAGAAAATTATCCCAGACAGAGTTAAGGCCAGTTGAAAACTTGGGGCATGGAACTCAGTGTGCTGCTGCTGCTGCTAAATCTCTTCAGTCATATCCGACTCTGTTCAGCCCCATAGATGGCAGCCTACCAGGCCCGTCTGTCCCTGGGATTCTCCAGGCAAGAATTCTGGAGTCGGTTGCCATTTCCTTCTCCAATGCATGCATGCATGCTAAGTCACTTCAGTCATGCTCAACCCTGTGCGACCCCATGGATAGCAGCCCACCAGGCTCCTCTGTCCACTGGATTCTCTAGGCAAGAATACTGGAGTGGGTTGCCATTTCCATCTCCAGGAACTCAGTGTAGTGTGTATGTAAACACTGAGGAGGGCTATGTGACTGTCACAGCATGATGGAGGGAGAGCCAGGAGATCCAATGAGGGTCAGGTCCCATAGGGCTTTCTGGCCATAGGGAGGACTTTGACTTGAGCCACAGGAGGTTTCCTAACAGAGGAACCCCTAGGCTTCTCTCAGAGACCCAGATCACACAATGATTTTTGAGGAGCTCCTGATTTACCCCAGGAAAACCACAGGCCATCTGCAATTGAACATGCCTTTCCTGGAATCCCCTACACTCAAGGGGAATCCCCCCTACTGCTCCCAGTGGACATCCGTGTCGATTGATGATACCCTCAGGAGAGACAGAGCCAAGGACCCTCTTGGTGTGAGTGAGGTCACATTGAGTCTTGCAAAGGCAAAGAGGGATGATATAATAGGCACAGAGATGGCAGGGAAAAAGACAAAGACAGAGCATTAGACAGGGACAGAGAGACTATTTCTGGCAGCAAACTGTCCCCACTTAGTTAGCACTCACCTACAGGCCCCCAGCCCTGCTACTGGATGATGTACAGTACATTTTCTCTATAGGAGAATAAAAGCCCCTCCCCAGGGACTGTCTCTAGGGAAAGACTTAGTTGCCCATGGCCTAGGCCTTAATCATGTTCCCTTAACACACATCTGGGGCCTCTGCCTATCATGATAAGGACATGTACCAGTCCTGGTGAGGCTCATCTGTATATAGGGCTCCTCACAACTTGTGCAGCCCAGCCTTCCCTCAGTGCCAATGACTGCTTTAATGGGGGAAGAGAGGCATGGATCTCTTCATTTGTGGTGGCGCCTTGTGCAAATTGGCGAATGTGAGGTTTCTCCCCACCTACTTGGAGGCTCACCTCTGTGACTTTCAGCACCACCTCTCCAGGGAATATTAAGATTACATTCCATACATCAGGTAAGAAGTTGGATGTGTGATGGGGAGACACAGAGACATATCCTGACAGTGAGTCAGTCACAGGGTCCTTGTGGCCCTGTGTAAACTTCCCCCTACCCTCTACCTGGCCAGGGTCATGCTGAGTCTTCCCTGCCTCCGCCAAGGAGCTCAAGCTTACATCTGGTTCCTCCCGTCATCATGATCTGAGACCTTCCATCTGCACCAGGCCTTGGGCTCCCTTCTGTAAACGCTGCCCTCCTTGTTGTGGGTTGGGCAGATTCACTGAATAAGTGTGTGTACACAGTTTTTGTCACAGGACCCCTATCATGGGTGGTACTCATGTCAGCAAGTATTGTTCTTTTTTTTTTTTCACAATCTCTCAAGAGCAATACATTTAATACATTCATAAGATTTAAATGAGTACATACATGCTACAGGTTTTCAATTTTCTTTGGACAACACAAAAACACAGTACTCAAATTGTAAGTTTTAACAGGAACATTTTGACACAATGGCAGGTTAAAAAAATAATAAAACCAACATTGAACTAATCCAGCACCAATAGACTTCCTTAAATCTCTCATACTATCCTACTTTCGAAATCATACGGCTGCCTTCTCTACCAGCATATTTTCTTCTCCACCCAACAATTCAACAACAAAAATTAGATAAAAAATTAGAGGTGTGTCACTGAATGAATAACACAACAGATTTTTTTTAAAAGCCACTTATTTGTTGAATGTTGAAAGAGGAGAATATGATTAGGTGGAAATACTGTAAGGCATTTGATTCATTCACTTCACTCTGATATCAGAGCACAGGAAACGTGCTCAAAGGTTAGCAGAAGGATTTAATAAGGATGGCAAGAAATAGTCCCACATTATTTATAAAAGGAAGGCTGCACTCATGAGTATGAAGAGCTTATAATACCATGGAAAAATATTTTAAGTTATAAAGTTAGATGAGAAAGTAGAATATAAAACTATATTCAGTATGATCTCAACTATGTAAAACCAAGCCAAAAAAAGGCTGAAAGTTCAAAATGTTAAGTTAGTGGTTGTATTTAAACAATGTATCTACCTGGATCTTTTCTTCCTTTTATTTTTATGTCTCTTCCAAAACTTTCTCTACTGGGGAGGATCCTTTTTAAAAAAAAAAAAAACCATTAGCTACTAAAAAAGGATGCCTGATTGAAGTATTGAATTCAAATTAATAAATTTAAGTGCAGCCTATAGGCAAGGATCTGGGCATGTAAAAAACTATAAAACATTCCAGGCTACTCTCTAAATCCACAGTATGTTACCTGTAACATCCCAGAGGCTAGAGGGCTTCGTCTTCTCCCCTAGCCAGGTGCAAAGGGTCACAAGATCCTGCCTGATGAAAAACTGCTGAATTAAACAGAAACGTCATGGATTTACAAAAAGGAACAGAAATACCCACACTTGGCAAAAACCGATTTATAGTACAGGAGTAGCTCTTTTTTTTTTTTTTTCAGGAGTAGCTCTTTAATACTATGATTAAACAAGGCAATGGCTATTTTCTCCTATCTCCTGTGTGGATAGCAAGTTTCAAAAAGCTATCACCACAAGAATTGTAGAAAGCTAATCCTGGCCTAGAAACAGAAGTAAAACAGCCCTGTGACAACAATGGACTAAGAAAAGTCAAAATTTAGAAAATTATAAAAAAACTGCTTTCTATAAAAATGATTGCCTTTTAAACATCTGTTTACTGTATATACTTTAAGGTTCCCACTATCAACCCCCCCTCAAAAAAAGGGTCAAAACCTCTAAACACTTTCTACCAAAGGACCACTGGTTTGTTCATTCAATTAACACAGAGGGAAGGCTCATAATGTGCGAGGCACTCGGGTCTCAAAGAGCAGACAGATTTTCCCCTGCCCCAAGGACATTTTCGTCTCTCAGAGCAGGAGGTGGGCACATCACCAACCACAACACAACAATGAAAAACAGGCGCCACTGCTTCCTTACAACTCAAGAATAAGCTACAATTCTCGCTGTAATTACTTCCACCAAAGTCCTTACACAAAAACTTCCCTGACTCACTAGGAAGCAAAGATGCAACTACTTTTCCTTTCTACAAGAGGCAGGCATAATTATTACATTTTGTGATATTTGCCCTTAAACATCACAATGTCTAGTAGTGAGGTCAGTTAACTTTGTTTTAAGCAATGGAGCATTTTCATTCCAAGAATGAGACACCTTTAAGCCGAGAAAAAGTGACTAGTCCTAGCTCTAGATCAAGACTTGTGAGGACCGTCAAAAGCTGAGACCCAGGAGTGTAACTTTCAATTAAAAATCTTCAGTCTCCCCTGCCATCCGCTGGGTTTCAATATGCTCCTGTGTCAGCCACACCAGGTCCTTCTGCACATTGGGGTGGTCTTCCAGATCTTCGTGGAGGGATCGTGCAATGTCCAGTCTCCTGTAATCCTCAGGCTTGACTAGGCTTCTCACAACCTGGAGGCACCACTCTTTCAGGGTGTACACTGGCAGTGTGACGTTGGCAAAAATAGGCTGCCCATCAACATTGAGAGATGGCACAAATAGCTCAGTTTGGTTAACTAGAAGCCCATCAGATGTCCCAGCATCTCGGAAGAGCCAAAGGTGACTGTAGCTGTGGATGCGGCGGCCCGTGCCGGGGGTGGGGGTCAGCGTCGGGTAGGGTTGCGGCTCGCCATTGAAGTTGAGCCACACGGGCAGCACCACGCGCGGGCTGCGGTTGCAGAAGATGACCTGGGACGGCTCGTGTGTGTTCACGGAGCGCAGCACCGGCCGCAGCCTCCCGGCCTCCATCTCCCACTCGGCGCCGGGTGCCTCTGCACTCGCCTCCTCAGCGCCGGCCTCAGACTCTTCCTCGTCCCCCGCCTTCCGGGGCATTACCCGCAAGTATTGTTCTTAACAGGGTTATTACCATGGGCTCCTGTGAACTGCACACGACTTACCCTTTCTGAGGATGGCACCCCAAGCCTATATCTCTGTAGGGAGGCATGGTAGAAATCATAGCAAATGTGAAATCACAGGTCGACTTCTAAGTCCTGTGAGAGTGGGATCCATCCAACCTTCCTCTTAAGACTGTTGTTATATGCAGATTCATGAACAGCTCAGAGGCCCAACCCTCTTGACAAAGACCTCCTAAATAGTTCAGAGACTTCATGCCCTGAGACAGATATCTGGAATCACTTCAGAGACTGCTCATCCTAGACTCCCACTTGAAACAGCTCTAATGGATCACACCTGAGGACACAGACCCCAACCAGCTCAGAAATTCCAACTGTAGACTCAGAAAAATTAGGATCCCTAAGACAAACAGCATTATTCACAGCCAGTTCTACAGGGTTAAATTGTAACCTCTGTGGTTGCTGAATGACAGTGAATCTGGAAGGAATTCAGGATGAAAAACAGGATGAAGCACTCTGTGCTTTGGACAAGCTGGCCTTTATTTATTTACATGCATACCTCAGGAAAAGTTTCAGTGA